AGTGAAGAGTAAAAACATTCCTGAGTTAATTTAAGAGTCCAGTAATTTTAAAGGAATGTAAGCAGAACAAATCACTGATAGACATTGTATGTATTTGTAATAAAATAACAAGGATGATGCCTTAAACCTTTGGTTTGACACAATTATGCAGTGTTGCCACAAACAAATTACCAGATTCCTCAAAAACAAATGGGAAATCCTCAAAATTTTCTTATTACAGATATGAGATTGTTACTGCATAATATTTACAGGTAATAGGTATAAACATTAATTACATTCTCCAATTCAATTGGTACATTTGTTCTAGCGGTTCAAACCAAGTATCACCGTTACTTGTTATGCCTTGGTTTGTATATAATATTGCTGCAACTATATCAGTGCTCAATCTGGTCCTCAAGTCAGTCATACCGAGATTTTGCAAGTTCAAAATAAGTTGAAAATATAACGATGGAATGAAAAAAAATATTGATAACATTTTGAAAAACACCACATAAGCCGCTTGACAAACCTAGCGAAATATCCCTTTCCTTAAAGCTATTTATGTTGTGTATGGGGGTGTTTAAGGTTCGACCAGCTGTTTGAGGGAAATGTGAATAAAAATCAAATTTTTTTGATTTTCTGGCCGCCATATTGACGTTTGATCAAACTGCTTACGTTGTGCATGACAAAATCGCCTCATTCGCAACGGAATTTTTACCGAATGAGGACGCAAGAGAGAAAAATCGAAGAAAACCAAATCCTTTTACATTGTGAACAGGAAGAAAACTTAAATTCTTTGCTTGCTGTTTGCATGGTGTATGGCGAAATGGGAAAAGTAGGTTTGAAGAATGTTTGACAAGCCGCTTGTGTGGTGTATTTCGCTCTTTATAAAACTAAACGTAAAGCTTTTTGTTCAAAAATTTGCAGAGCCATTTAACAACTCTCTTGTATAAAACATGGTTGCATTTGTTATCTGCAAATATGTATGTCAAGAGAAAATTCCTCAAAAATTTCTCAAAATAAAAATCATCAAAAAATACTCAAGCGTACCCGAAATTCCTTACGTTTTGAGGAACTACTCACAAAGTGGCAACACTGCAATGATGACTTTAGTTTAACCAAATTTAATTTACAAACAGGGGGCAACACTCTTCGTAATATTTGCAAGCTAAAGCCTTCTTAAACCTCCTTCGTCTGACTCCTATATAGTGGTACCAATCTAATTCAATTACCTAATTCCTTTAATTCAAATTGAATTTAATTTTTTAAACAGTTGGCAATCCTCTACATGTAGTTAAGAAATAAACCCTTTGCGTGCATATATTCAATTGATACTCATCTCTTAATAATTCTTTGAACTTACTAAAAAATTTGAATTGAAATTTCTATTGACTGTAGGTCGAGCTTTTTAATCTGACATTTCATTTTTGAAAAAAGAACGAATCGTGC